TTCGAATTCGAATCTCCATGTCCTGCAGTATGTTCACCTGTTCAAAAATAACAAAAGGTGGCTCCAGTTGGAGTGTTATCATCCATTACTTGGCAACATAAAAAGGTAATGACTGCACATATTTTGGTTTTTCAAACGCCGTTTAGACGATATTCTCAGAGCCAGAAACAGCCTAAGAAACTTCTGCGAGAAGTTCTCTGGTGATGAAATAGCTCACAACCAATTGCGTGCAACACAACATGATTTCATATCGCTCTCCCGCTTCAGTAAGTTTCCATACATTTGGAGACTAAAATGCCCCTGCATTTTTCTTTGAAAGGTGCGGACATAATGATGGGGTATATACAATAATAGACGCGGAATCTTGTAGGGCTGCCGTCTACTTTTTCAATGGTCCATCCCAAATAATTTGTGTTTAAAAATCCAGATTTCATAGCATAATTCCGAAATTGGGGAAGGTTCGCCGCCTTCCTAAAAAATGCGAGACTCCACCAGTAGTCTTCTCGAGTATTTTGAATGGTGCGACGAAGTCAATGCATTGGTTCTCAATGAACCTAATGGAGTTTATTAACCGAGGAATCCAATAAATAAGTTCTATATTTATATTACTAGACATCAAACAAGTGATAATCGGAACGAAAGATACTGAGCGCAAATGTTCAAAAAGTCAAATGTCAACGGCAGAAATATCAGGAGGATAATCATCGAAACTGAAAGAAATAGAGTGAAGAAGTTCCGGTAGGATGAGCATCTGAAGGAAGAAATGTTGTCACTGTAAATGCTACGGAAAATATGAAATGGTGCTATTTCAGTGCAATAAACATCGACATGAATAAATGCTGAAACGGAAAGCAATCCAACTGCAAAGTATTCACGCAGTGAATATCATCGAATATACAACCACTTCGTTAGTTAGTCATCGGGTGTGAGAGCGCGTCAACTGTGCTGGTTGTTTAAGTCTTACAACCATTGCAATATATATATATATATATATATATATATATATATATATATATATATATATATGTATATCAGTCTTGAGGGATCAGACAGAGCAGTTTGACATAGATGCTTTGAGTGGGCATGATGTAATATGCTTGCCCAATCCTTTAAAACGTTGTGCTGCCCTCATACAAAATATCTAGCTATTCATTATTTCATTTGATCTTGTCATTGTAGCGCCTATAGTAAAATGCAATCGTGATTGCAGCCCAAGAAATTAAGAGCGTCTCGCCGAGGGCTTTTTTACCGGAAGCAGCGAAGGCGGCTAGGCCTGATGTAGATGCTCCCGCACTCTTCTGAGACATCTATACAATCCAAACATGCATTTACCTGAGGGAGTTTTCCATCCAGTACACCAGTCCACAGGTCAAACAAACGGAGAGCGGCCACGTCATGGCTGCATCATGGGTCTTCACATGTGATGCTCTCAAGTCTGGAACAGATGCACACATTATAAGCGTTATCATCAGGTATACTCCGGCACATGTGAACACGGCTGGAAGGCACAGCTGAAGCAATGAATACATCAGCATCATTAATACCGTGATGCATTCCGACATATCAAGACCAGGCCTCTTAACGACTGGGACACTCTTTGAGTGGTCTTGGCTCAAAACACAGGCATCAAAATGCATATTTCAAGGGATTGAGCCAGAAATCGCACACTCAGGTTCACTACGTCCACCCACCCCGTGATGAACGATTACATGCTCCTATTACAGGTGTCTCATTAGAAATAAATACGCCAGATGTGTCCTCCCACCTACTTCGTCTTCAACAACAATTTTCATGGACCAAATAAACGCTTTACGATTCGGTAGCATTTACGCTAGTTTATACCGAATTTTAGTATAACTTAAGGAAAAGGCCAATTCCAAACAATTCATATCGAGTTCACCGTTGAACAATGTAAATGATGATATGGGGATTGTGAACTGCCTAAATGTAACATAATCACGTAAATACTTGCCGTTAAAATAACGCTTCCGGTTTCATCTTCCTTCAGTCTGAAGTTTTAAAAATGATAGCATCAAAGCAGACGCACTGGTTACTGTTCATGTTGTTATTGGTGGTCAACTGATTTGCTGCAACGCTCACAACTCCACGAGACCTTAAATCGCTAACCCACAGGTGTCATAGACGGGCTGTCGGTACAGACTGCATTCGAGGGCGTCACCTGACCGATCACGGATCGCACCTTCTGCACCGGTCAATGGCAGGACGCCACATCATGAGGGCGATCCTCATACCACAGCCCACTTCACGCCCCCCCCCCCCCCCCCCCACAGCATCAGTCCCGTGCTCGATACTAACAAGCACAACAAATCGAAAACAAACATCCAACAAAGCACATCAACAACGGCAACAAACGTCACAACCCTTAACGGCTAATGAGTGGCACTAAACCTATCAGATCCGGGTACGGAACGCTGCCACAGGTTGTAGCGGTTCCCGTCCCTAGTCAGTGACGGCTCCTGATTTATTGTTTCATGTGATTTTCGCTTTATAGCAGAACTGTATTTCTTCCTTTTTGGTAGCCCCGGAGTGCATCCAGAGTCCGCGACACCTGCAGCTGTCGCGACTGTCGTCATGACAACTGCCGCCATCACAACGATTGCAGAATTTGTTGAGGCCGTTGTTAGCTTTTACGGGTTACATGTATCACTTTTAGCTGTTTAGATCCGAGCATTGCGGGCCTGACGGTTTAAGTATTGGACCTACTGGTACGAATGACGTCAGTCCAAATCAACGTTTGTGATTCGTACAGCGGGCGGCAAAGGACAGCCATCGAGAAGCGCATTGGTTAAAGTTTGAACCAGTGAGTCACTTTATATAGACCATGTAAAACTCCGTTTCCCAAAACCAAAGTGCCCTTCGAAAAGAGCCACAGTGCCATACGCCATAGATGAGAAATCGACGCCGTAATGAGAAAAAAAGCAAATGAGACGTATTACTTGCATAGTTGGGAGCGGTAAGTCCAATGAGATGTCTCCCGTAGGAGCGATTTTTGACATCCGAATTTTGAGTTGTTTAGACGAATTTCGAAAAAATCGGCATTTCCGAGCAAATCGGATACGTCTGATCTCACGAAAGGTGAAAAGTATAAAAAGATGGCGCACTCAATTTAAAAGCGAACACGTGCCCACAGACAACCGTTGGATAAAAACACAATGAGAAAGGCTATCCTGCAAGGTTGAAATTAGCCGCACACAGCTTCCACACACCTTACAGCAGACACACTGCAATGTAACTGTCACCCCTTGACGTAATTGGTCGTCATAGTTACTTTTTCAATCCATCTCCTCCCACCATGTACAATGTTTCATGGTGACACAAGCAATTGTGTCCTACAACACGTTTTCTTGTCCTTTTATTCTTTTTATTCTTCTTCCTTATCTTCTTGTCGATGTATAGTTGCACTGATCTATTTGACACTTGCGGTGCACTAAATTTTTAGTTTTAACCCTCTCCTGCTTGGGACGCCTAGAAGCAAGCCGTACGCTTGAAGTCATCGCAAAAATAAGGGATGGTACGACTGCGTTACCCTATGTCAACGATGCTCATGTATGCAAGGAAACTTTACGTCAGTTGTCTAGGTGCGTGTCCAAAGAGATCCAAGCACCAGTAAATTGTTTGTGTTTAATAATGACAGGCTAATGGCGACTGGCGCGGAGGATGCTTTGCGTAGACCGTGATATGCTGTGCTGTCAAAAGGATTGTTCAGCTACGCGCCAGGCAAAGGGGGCAAGCACTGGTAGTGAAAGCGAAACGGGGGGGGGGGGGGCGATAGATGGTAAACTGTCCTCATTTTGTCCCCCGGCTTCCAACCATAATTTTGCGCTGACCCGTCAGTAGGATCACGCGCTCTGTCTCATCTTGCTGGCGGTCGCAGCTGTTCATGAAAATGAACCAATGAGAACAGAATCGAGCAGAACTCCCACACACAAAAATTATAACACATGTTGATCATATCTTTGTTCAAATTTCGGTACATATATTTGCTAATCACGGTCCAGCTGACAGACCTGGGTGCCTAAAAATGAGACCGAGAAAAGTGATACTATATTACGATAAGAAACAAATGTTGTGCACCTGTCTGTCTGCCCGGCTTGTCCTGTTTCACCTGTTTTACACAGCCCCGTCTGACGTTTCAAAGTATTTTCTAGTTCATTTTGATTTTTCATTAAGAAAAGCTGTCATTTCATTAAGAAAAGCTGTCATCTTAGAATGCTTGAAACCATACAAAATGCAAGCATCCACCGCGACTCAGATATCTGCTTGAACCATCCCAAACGTGGTTCAGGTCAAAATGCGCTGCTAATGTACGCGGTCAGGCGTGAGTAAATGGCAAATCAAGGTTTTAACTGAGGGGGGGGGGGGGCTTGCAGCTTATTAGGCGCTTGGTGGTCACTGGTGGAGATTATCCCACTTCAGTTAATATCTTTAACAGGCCCTGACCGAACCTAACGGTCTAAAACGCTGATCGCCCAACCAGGATCCCCAAACAGCGGCCTTCTTGCTCTTGGCGAGGCCCCGCCCCCCGGCGGCGATTGGTTCAGTTCGGCCGCCGCGGCTGCTGATTGGCCTGCGCGACCATCAGTAGCGCCGGACGGCAGCAGCAGCTCAGGCTCCGGCGCGGTCACCAGAGCGCGTGCGCCATGTCACCCATGTGCTCGACGCTGTTCCGACCGTGGGCAGAGCCGGCGGCCGAGGCGGGCCGGACCGGCTCGAGTCGAACCGAGTCGACCCGGACCGCTCCGAGCCAGCGAGAGCCGCACCGGACCGAGTCGAGTGGGACCGATGGGCGGCGGACGCCGGAGCCGTCCGGTGCGGCGGTGCGGTTCTCAGAGACGCCCCTGTACGGGTCGGAGCCTGCAGCGCAGCCGGTGTCGGGCGCCCTGTACCGAGGCACCAGCTGGAGCGCGGGCCGGCGTCCCGCTTGGCGCGTTCCTGGGCGCGCCCCGGCCGCCGCCGCCGCTGGCCTGGAGCGCCCTCCACCTGCTGGCCGAGGAGGAGCGTCGCAGGGCGGCTAGCCGGCGGCGGCGCGACAAGAAGTTCTGTTGCCCAAAGTGCCCGATGACGTTCTCCAACAAGGGGCAGCTGACCGGCCACTTCCGGAAGCACACGGGTGAGTGGTGGAGCACTTCGCGGACTGGATCAATCCACGGAGTGCGGACCAATCCGCTGCCTGCATTGGATCGGATTAGAAATTTCCGCCGCAGTATGGGTTAGGACCAGACCGGATTCTCACATAGGCCCGCTCACATGGAGTGAACAAATTGAAATCCAATGAAATGGGAGTCATCACTAAATAGTGCCTGAAATGCTTGATATAGGCATCAATTCAGGAAAGTATTTCTACACCCAAAAAATAGAATAGTTGTTATGTCAAGTAGTGTGAAAACAGGCTACACAGTCCATCACTGAGTGATAGATTCCTCGAAAACAATTTTCGATGAACAGCTTATATTGACCAATCGATTTGAGTGACTTTGCCAACTTTGAGCTTAACACCAGCCTCATATTAAGTATGCTGTTTCAACTGATCCATTTTCAGGTTAAAGCCGGGCCAAAGTTGCAGCCTCATTACTATTTTATTCCCCCTCCAAAACGGACATTTCTCAAAAAACGGGCACGTTTTCCTCTACAACTAAGGACCAAAGGTATCTTTCTCACACAGCAATTACTTGCCGGATTCAAGTTTCGGTGCTCTTTGCACCCAGCAAAGAGACTTTGGCATGAGGCAGGTACTTATTGATTTGTGTCCTATCTATTCTACTCCCACTTGCATCACCCCACTTGCATGACCCAGTCTTCCATAATGATTTAGAAGGTACCAGGCACTTCACACAGGAAGTCAGGAGATTGATGCGGGTGAACATGCCATCCAATACGGCCCATCATACCCCAAATGAAGATTTGGCTGCGTTTGGAGTAGCTTGTGAGATCACCAGAGCCCTCGGCAAGCAGCTTCTAGGCTTCCATGCATTCCATGATGTCAAAACGCCAGCGGTCATTGCAGATGTCGGAAGACGGGTGACATATGCCTAGCTCACGTTCACGTCTTGTGAACGCGGGAAAATTCTTTATTTGTGCCTATGGCACTTACAACGCATGCGAGGCTACCTCACTTTGACTTTATCGCTGCATGCGTATCACTGCGTATAACTGCGCACAACTGACCTACGCTTACCCACCATATTACTGTTGGTAGGCCAAATTGCGCGGGAGAAATTTTGAAAAACGAGATGCAATACTTTACGTGTCGCTGACAGCGGAAAAAAGCGCCGGCTTCATTCATTTCCCATGCCTATTTCCATTCACTGGGCGTACAGTTTCAAAGTAAAATGCTCCAACATCCTGTTTCGGCAGAAGCAGTGTATGTGGATAAAGGGCAGAGTGGTCGCCGATGGTGTAGTGGTTAACGCGTCTGGGTTAATCGCTGCATGTCTGGGAAACCAGGGGTACAGGGTTCGATTCCCCGTGGCGCCCGCCCTTCCTGGCAGGGTGAGAGGCAGGCGACGCCATTTAGCTTCAGCAGCTGACTGCGTCGTAAAGCCCCTATGGCGATGACGAATTAAGGACAGATCCGTCGCTGATATTGTGTGCTAGCATATCTACATCAACATTTGCTGTCCCGTAAAACAAGTAAACACCAGGTACAAAGAAACGTAAAAACCCTGCAGCGGACCGGCCCACATCTTCTATAACTAAGCATTACATTATATATTATCTTTATGTAGTATGCAGCATTCAGTTTTTATTTCCGAGGACCAAGCGTTTTACACTTCCCTCGTGTTTCCATGTTTCAGTGTTCATCGTGACTAGAAGTGTCTATCTCGGCCCATCGAACCTCCGCCCCTGTTTCAACGTCTGTACCATGGATTAAGCATATTTTGCTCTCAAAATTTGTTTTAATTCGTTTATTAGGTGGCCTCAAGTGTTGATGTTTGATTTGTACAGTTTAAAGCGTGCAATTAAACGACAGCCCAAGCAAGCCGATCTTACTTCGATAGATTATTTCCTCTGCCCCACTACCAAAGCAGATCTGTAGGAATATATTTCCAGCACTTTGCAAACAAATTTTCTCCTGCTTTTCACCGTAGATTATATGTCGCCTTCATTTACGTCATGGACCACGCTCACAAAAATGACGCGAGGAGAAACATGGCCTTAGGTGAAGAGCCTAAGATTAAGCCTTTTTAGGGCTACTAATGTTTTATAGACGGTTGGTAAATTCGCGGTGCTTTGTGGAGACCAGAGCAGATCCTTGCACACCAGCTGTAGTAGCCAAAGATATAGACTGACAGCTTGCATTGTCATGAACGCTATCAAATGCGATGACCGTCTTTCACAATAAATAGCTCTCTTTCGCTCTCGGCGTAACATCAGTAACATCACAAAGCCACAAAACCTGTGAAGGCTCGTGCACCCAGCATCTCTTCAGGTCATTGACCCTCTTCTTGCCGGCAGGGGAGCGGCCGTTCGAGTGTGAGACGTGTCACAAGCGCTTCACCCGCAACGAGGAGCTGACCCGCCACACACGCATCCACACCGGCGACCGGCCGTTCGGCTGCGAGATCTGCGGCAAACGGTTCGGCCGCAAGGACCACCTCAACAAACACCAGCGCACCCACACCACGCCCTTGTACGCCGCCTATGCGTCTATGACGTCAGCCCCGCACGGAGTGCTCTCACCATTCCCATTCGGGTATGGTGCGGAGACGTGCAAACTGCTGCAATAATTGTGTGTATGTGTGAATTATGATTTTTTGCCATTATTATTTAAAGTGATGTGAGGCTGGAGGTTGCGTCATAAGTGATGATAGTTTGCGATTTTCCGGATACTTTGAGCGGGAATTCATGTGCTCAAACGATGTGCTTACAGATGGTGTATTTTGGAAATATATGTCAGATCTTGAACTTGATCTGTCTTAATGTTTCATCTCAACTGAATAAATCATGCCAATTTTCCTGAAGGCCACATGTTTATAATTATTTTTATGCACTGCCATTGGTGGCAAGAAAACACAACATTTATGTTTGTTGCCCATGATCCGTGCACCGCACCACACAGCTATTCGTTGCAGCCGTCGAATAGTGTTCTCCATAGTTCAACGGATTCCCCTATCTCTCTCTCTCTCTCTATCTGCTCCTCGCGCGCTCTCTCTCTCTTCTCTCTCTCTCTCTCTCTCTCTCTCTCTCTCTCTCTCTCTCTCTCCTCTATCTCTCCTCTCTCTCTTTCTCTTCTCTCTCTCTCTCTCTCTCTCTCTCTCTTTCTTTCTTCTCCCACTTTTCCTTCTCTTTTCCTCTTCCCTTCCTCCCTTACTCCCCCTATCTCTTCTCCTACCATTATCCTGCGTCTCTTTACTGCGGCCTCGTTCATGATACATCTAGCTGCCATTACCCTTCCATTTTCCGTATCTCGAAGCATTGCGCGCGCAGCGGTTCCCCCCCCCCCCCCCCCCCGACACGTGGCCCGGTCACGTGCTCACACTTCCGCTACGGCGCACGCAGTCATTTGTGCGCACGCGTCGTCGGGTCCGCGTGACAGCTGGCTGTGAGCGTGGCCCACGAGCAGAACCGGGGCTGCAGCTAGGGAATCAGTGGATTATTTTGTTTTTATTCGTTTTGTTTTGGAAACACGGCAGCCATGAACAACAGCAAACGATGCTGTGTAGGCTTAGTGCGCATATCTCCGCTGTTGGTCGTTTAAAAAAGAAGATCGCAACTGAAATTGCAGGGAAAGGAACATGGGTATTAGCGTTACTACACTGCAGACAACGTCAAGACTCCAAACAATGTCAAGTTTCGCCCAGAATCTAAGTTTTCTCCGAAAATGATGATGTAGCCAGGTGTGAGCCGTGATGGCATGTCAAAACCAGTGCTCATCACCAGCAAAACAACGACGGACGAAGGAACTCACGAGAATGAGTGTATAATGACAATAAAAATGCGATCAGTTGCAAAATAACACCAGGATAACAAACTTCTGTTTTGGGCAAAGTCCATGGCACCAATCTATTATGCTAGAAATGTCTTGAATTTGCTGGACGATCTGCAGATTCCTTACGTGCTGCGAGATGAGAACCCATAAAACACCTCAGGCCCGACCCAAAGAGACCTGGAGGTATGCTGAAGCAAGAACTCTTCTGCCCATCCGTTGCCATAGACCATGACAATGGATGGGAAACCCAGTCGGAGCGAATACTGAAGTAACGCGATGAAATGGGACGTAAGAGAAGTCGATGAAATCAGAACCCGGGCAGACTTTGATGCGTGAGCCGCGCGCGAAGACACGCTGTTCCAGCAGATATGGCCTCACAGTGGCAATCCCTTGATATGGCTGCGAAGTCATCTACAGTGGTCAGCAACTATGGTCATTTTATCAAAATGTCTTCCAAAGAATTGAAGATACACTCATCCAAAGATTGTCTCACCTCGCCGGTATCCAAGCTTGTCTCGCAGTTGCCGACGGAGTGCGTCGATCGCGCCCAATCGCCCGATACCGGCCGGTCGGCCCGTGGCGTGACGCCGTGTGATCTACCAATGCTCAAATCCGATCTACGACTAATGTAGAAAAGATCGCGCCAATTTTTTCTGGTCTGAACGGCATTAATGTGTCTCAGCTGAAAGGAGATGTTTCAGGTTTGAAGATACTGAAGCAATCATCAAATGTGAAGAAACAAGCTCACTTGGAACTGTTGATATACTTTTTGGATGGAAAAGACTGCTCTAGCCAGCGCAATTATCTGTTTCGTAAATATTCTTCTTGATGCGTCATGGCTTCACTCTGTCATCGTATCTTGCACAACATTGACCGGGAGCCAATTGATGGTCGTTATGTTTGGAAATCGCGCTGACGAATGCCAGAAATGAACGCCTCGGCAATTACATTTTTATCGGCCTTGATCGTCGCACAGCTTGTGGAATGGCAGGATTTAAATGACGTTTTTATGAGGTCATACATGCCACAGTGACTTTGAAATGCTCTTCCTGATACACGTTTCCCATTTTCGCGGATGTATGACTCGGAAACTGAAGGGGCTTAGGTCTCAAGAAGGGCAGGATCGTGAACGGCACAAAAAGGCCCTCAGGATGTTTATTTCAGTTCAAAACCCCATATAGTGGACCGCTCCCTTTCAAAAATCAGGGACGCAATGTTTTCAGAATTGAGGTGACAGGTCAAACCAGACCTTCACGATAAGCCTTATGGACCTTTTATGCTATTGTAACACATGTTTCAAAAGTGCACGTATTCAAATTTTTGACGCGCTTTTCCCACGCTTCATATATACTCATTAAACTGCTAAAGAAAATTTAAAAAAGGGTCTGTGACATCATCACGCATTTTCACCCGCTCCTAGTTCCGTATCGGAACGCCGTGCGGCTCTAACACTTGCATAATCGTGTATTAGCCGTACAGTTAACTCATAAACAGGCGCCTAAGTTAAAGGAGGTACCGTGTGAAATGCACCCAAATTGTCGTCGAATGACAATGTACTCATCTGTGATTTGGCGTGCATTTCGGAAATCGATTGTTGTAAAATGAGGCGGATGGAATCCTATACCAGTCGAACAAACGCCAGCGAGAAGGTTAGACATCCGATCGGTGCGCACGAGGACGCGTGGCTTGAAATGCTTCTGGCTAAAGCGGGATCGGTAGTTGTTCATTCGTTTACGCAGACACGCACGGAACAATTAAATGTTCGCCCGGTGGCGGTCTGCAAAATAATTACGCCGCCAATACATCCAAAGGCTTTTTGAAGGCTTGACTCCAGGTGCGCGAGAAGCGGATCACGCATTGCTCTGCGTGCTGCAGTGGTGAAGACGTCCATTTTTTTTTTTTACTAACTTCTCACTTTCCCATCAGAAAGGCACGGATGACAGAATGCAACTAACATTTTCTTGCAAGTGTAGATTAGGGCGACCAAATGCGAAAGGGGCAAATGCTCTTTCTGAAACTCCGCTATTCCTCAGGTGAAGGATTTTTGGCTGGCGTCACTTAGCATGGCTTTGGCTGAGGATTTGTGCAGGTGGTATTATGTGCGTGAGACACGCAGTTATGCATAGCTCTGGCTATTTCTTGGACTCACTTTTCAAACAAAA